ACGTTTGATCAATGTAGGTTTGAAGTCTACTTTGTCAGAGATATGTATTGCTACTCCTGCCTGTTTTCAGGGGCCATTGTCTTGGTAAATCTTCTTCCAGCCTTTCATCCTAAGCTTATGTTTATTTCTGTCTGTGAGATGGGTTTCCTGCAAGCAACAAATTGTTCACTCTTCCTTTTTAATCCATTTTGTCAAGCGATGCCTTTCGATGGGTGAATTAAGTCTGTTAACGTTAAGTGTTAGTACTGATAGGTATGTGGTGATTCCTGTCATTTAGTTGTCTTAGTTGTTTGAAGGTTTGATTGTGTGTACCTAAGTTGAGGTTACTCTCTACTTTCTTGCTTTTTCTTTTCCTGAGGTTTGGTGCTGCCTGTTTTTTCATGGTTGTGTTGGGTTTCACTTTCTGTGTGCAGAATCCCTTGAAGAATCTTTTGTAGTGTTGGCTTTGTGTTCACATATTGTTTTAGTTTCTGCTTATCATGGAAGACTTATTGCTCCATCTATTTTGAATGATAGTTTTGCTGGGTAGAGTATCCTGGGGTTGAAGTTATTTTCATTCAGTGCCCAGAAGATCTCTCCCCACGCTCTTCTTGCTTTTAATGTTTCTGTTGAGAAGTCTGTTGTGATTTTGATGGGTTTACCTTTGGTCTTTTTTTTTTGGTCTTTTCTTTTTTGGTGCTGGAATCGAACCCAGGGCCTCATGCATGCTAGGCAAGCGCTGTACCACCAAGCTACATCCCAACCCGGGTTTACCTTTGTATGCTATTTGTTTTTTCTCTCTTACAGCCTTCAATATTCTCTCCCTAGTTTCTGAACTTGTTGTTTTAATGATGATATGTCATGGGGTAGGTCTGTTTTGATCTGGTCTGTTTGGTGTCCTGGAGGCCTCTTGCATCTGTATGGGAATATCTTTCTCTAGATTTGGGAAATTTTCTGTTATTATTTTGTTGAATATATTATGCATTCCCTTCGCTTGCACCTCTTCTCCTTTCTCGATGCCCGTGATTCTCAGGTTTGGTCTTTTGATGGAGTTGGTGAGTTCTTGCATTTTCTTTTCACAGGTCTTGAGTTGTTTAATTAATAGTTCTTTGGTTTTTCCTTTAATTACCATTTCATCTTCGAGTTCTGAGATTCTGTCTTCTGTTTGTTTTATTCTGCTGGATTGGCCTTCCGTTTTGTTTTGCAGTTCTGTTTTGTTCTTTTTTTCTGAGGTTTTCCATATCCTGGGTGATTTCCTCTTTAATGTTGTCTATTTTTGTCCTGAGTTCATTTATCTCTTTATTAATCGTGTTCTCTGTTTCACTTTGGTATTTATACAGTGCTTCTATGGTTTCCTTTTTTTCTTCTTTTGCTTTTTCAAATTCTCTATTTTTGAAATGGAATTTCTTGAGTGTCTCCTGTACATTTTGGTTACCATATCCAGTATCATCTCTATAAAATTCTCATTGAGTACCTGTAGTATGTCTTCTTTTAAATTATTCTTGTGGGCTTCATTGGGTTCTTTGGCATAGTTTATCTTCATTTTGTTGGAGTCTGGATCTGAGTATCTGTTTTCTCCATTTCCCTCTGGTTCCTGTACTAATTTTTTGCTGTGGAGAAACTGGTTTCCCTGTTTTGTCTGTCTTCCTGTCATTGACCTTGGTGTTATTACTGTCCCTGTACTGTGTCAATTAAGTATTTTCTAGCTTGTAATAATAACAATGGTCATATTTAGAATGGAAGGATAAGAGGAGATGGAAAGCAAAGAAGTAAAGAAAAAGGGAAAAACAAATAAACAGACAAGTAGTAAAAACCAAAGCAAAGAATCAAACAAAAAAGTTTCAAAGATATAAACAGAGAGTGTTAGTGTACTAATCGACAGTAAGCTGAACAGGCATTAGAGAGACAGAGGATTGAAAATAAAAAATTAAAAGAATAAAGATAAGTATAAAAATAAGTAAATGAAAGAAAAAATGTATATATATATATATAAATAAAATAAAACAATATGAAAAATAGAAAATTAAAAAAAAAAACCCTCCAAATTCAAATGCAATGGAGTTTCAGTCTTAATAATTTTGGTGTCTGTCTCAGCCTCCAGTCCTGGAGATGGTGCCTCAGATGTGTTCTGTAGTTCTCTCATCAAAGGGGACACATAAAGTCGAGCAAAACTTGTCTTCCCAAGCTGTCTGGGCGTGGGTGACTGGCGTCCCCGGGGCCCTCCTGGTTTCTCTGTTTAACGTGAAGTGGAGATTCTCTGTGCCAGCTGGAGGTGTGGAGGGGTCAACGTTTTGCCTCTTCTTGGTGGTTTTGCCTGCAAGGTGTGTCTCCAGCGTCTCTCCAAGATTTCACTATAGGAGGCACGCTTTCTGCTTCCTCCCTCTAGCCGCCATCTTGGAATCTCCTGCTGCTTGCTTGTTTTTTAATCAGGGTTGCCATATCTTTTGAGATTTCTAAGGTATCTTTCATGTGTTAGGGTTAGAAGCAGTTTCTGTCATCTCTCACCCTTTGCATTTATTGTTGTCCTGTTGTTTATAATGTGAGTGTCTTACAGAGTGGTAGGAAGCAAGACTGGGAGCCATCTAACCCAGAAAATATGCAGAAGTGTGATCAGCAGAGGTCTAAAGACCAACCTGTGCTCTGGGAAGAAACAAGCTTAGTAGAGCACGAGGAAGTCAAAGTGAAAGGATTCATGAATCTGACACTATAAAAATGTACTTTCTGCTGAATAAAGAATCACAATGAACGTGGAAAGGCCAATACAAAATTGATAACTTAAGTTATCTTCAAGTTAAATAAAGCAGATCCAACAATAGCATGGGTACATAATATAATCTTGCATGAAAGTGTATGTAGCTGTATGTGTGCACACAAATTCAAAATGGTCATCAGAATGCTCATAGTGTCTAACAGTGCACAAAACTGAAACTACTTGTGATAGAGGTATACTAAATCTGAATGTACAAAGATGACTGTATATAAGTAAAAACAATAATCTATAAAAATGAGCAAAAGATATAAAATGCAGAAGAGAGAAAAGAAAATTAGAGGATTGTGTTAAAATCTACCCAAGATTTGTTTTAATCATGCATTGGAAGACATGCAGTTGAGGAAATGACTGTCATCAAGGAAGGTCATTCACAAATCCCTAGAAACAAGAGGCATGGCATGCCAAGGGAGGCAGAGGATCAGTCAGGAAATACAGGGTGCTGGGGAAAACTAGGCTTACAGCCTTTATTGTGGTTTCCACAGGAAGGAATGGGTGAAGCAAAGTTTAGGATTGGATGGTCTGGATAATTTCAAAAGGCTCTGGGATATGGAGGTTGGCTTCAGGTTTCCTAAGACCTGGCTTTGGGGTAATTTAGGGCAGGGAGAAATTTGGCTGGCTTGTAAGAGCTTGATAAAGAGGTGGTTGGGGTTGTGGGCTCTGGATTTGTTGATTTGGTTCATTCTCAGGAGTCATTGACTGTCTCCAGGAAGTAGATCAGTCTGAGTTGGGGCACTTTCCAGGATCAATGCCAGAACATCAAGAGTACAGAAAATGAGGAGCTGGTGATGTGGCTCAGTGGTAGAGCACCTGCCTAGCAAGCACAAGGCTGAGTTCAAACCCCAGTACTGCCAAAATAATAGATAAAATAAAAATTACAGAAAATAGGGATGGAGGCATGGTTCAAGTGACAGAGTCCAAGGCCCTGAGTTCAAATCCCAGTATCACCACAAAAAAAGCAGAAATTTAGAGAAAAAGCAAGCCTGGTTGAGAAATGTAATCCATCAACAGTTTTTTATAATGAGCAAAGTGTTTTTAAAGAAATTAATGGCAAAAATATGGAAAAATTAAAGCACATTCTGCTGGTGTGAATGAAAAAACAGTCATTTTGAAGGAGAGTTGGCAATATGTAGCAGCCTACGCTTCCATAGCATCTAAGAAATTGAGTACCTTAGAAAATGTATTTCAAAGGAGATTTCAAAAAGTTGTGTTATGCTAAGGAAAACTTGGAAACAAGTTGAAATGCTTAAGGGATTAGGTGAGTAAAGGAACACATTGATAGAGTGCAGCAGTACTATGCAGTTCTTAAATCATATAGGAGAGAATATTTAATGCATAAGACATTCAATGTTAAGAACAAATGAAGTTATTACAAAATTGTATGCATAATATCCTGTTTAATTACCAAAAAGTATTTGCTTATGTTGTGTATGCATGTATTACTCGTGTTTACAATGATTATTTTGGGTAGTGAAATTATGGTGATAGTTTTTATTTGCTTTTTGCTTGCCTAAATTTTGTCCAAATAGCCATTAAATAAAAAGGAAAATTATCTTAAGAACAAAAGGAGCTGAGTGTTTAGAATAAGGGTGGAAGATCTGAGGCTCTAGGTAACATGGTACAATGGCAGCAATGAAGGGCTGCAGAGCACAGATGTCTCTTGGTCCCAGCTCAGCCCCTCTTTGTCATCTCATCCTCTAAACAGCATCAGGAGTTTGGTTTGGTTTTGTTGTTTTTGGTACTGGAGTTGGAACTGAGGGTTTCCTGCTTGCTTTGCAGATGCTCTGGTACTTAAGCCATGCCCCAGCCCTTTTAGTCATTTTCCAGGTATGGTCTTGCATTTTACCTGAAGCCAGCCTCTAATCATGATCCTCCTACCTATGGCCTTCCGCATAGCTGGAAATCAGGCACACGCCACCAAGCCCAGTTTGTTGGTTGAGTTGGGGTCTAACTTTTTGCCTGGGCTGGCCTCTTCACCTCCCAACAGCTGGGATTACAGATGTGAGCCACTGCCTGGCCCATCTGGACAGTTGAGATAACATGACAGATCTGCTTTGAAGACTACAGTGCAGATTGTACATGTTGGTGAAACTTACCTTTCAGAACCTCCAGGAAGGGGAGAGAGCAGTAGGGGCAGGTGAATGACTGGTGGTGGGACTGTGTGGGGAAGGAGGAGTCCTATGTTTGGGAGCTCAGACCCCTTCCTTCCAGCATGGTTCCTAACCCCATGCCTTTTCTCTCCTGCATGGAGCAGGTCTGTACCCTCACCAAGGAAGACAATCGCTGTGTGGGCCAGATTCCCGAGGACGAGCAACTGCACGTGCTCCCGCTGTACAAGATGGCCACCACAGATGAGTTTGGCAGCGAGGAGAATCAGAACGCCAAGGTGGGCAGTGGTGCCATCCAGGTGCTTACTGCTTTCCCTCGTGAAGTCCGGCGACTGCCTGAGCCTGCTAAGTCCTGCCGCCAGCGGCAGCTGGAAGCCAGAAAGGCAGCAGCTGAGAAGAAGAAGATCCAGAAGGAGAAGCTGAGCACCCCTGAGAAGATTAAGCAGGAGGCCCTGGAGCTGGCCAGGGTTCCCACTGACCCAGGTGTGTGGAGAGGATACCACCAGGGCAGGCACGGGCCCTGTCCTTAACTGGCCTCACCACCACCCTGTCCCACTTTCCTGAATCGGGCAACTCAGGCAGAAAGTCCTGCGGCCTCTGCTCCATCTTGTCAGTCAGAATGGTACCTGATGGAGGAACCTGGGAAAATGAATGCAGAGCTGACTGGTTATCTTCAGGGAGTGAGCTTGCTAAACAGACAAGAGGAGGTTCCCTTCCAGTGTGCTCACATATCCTCTCCATGTGGGGAGAAGAGCATTGCTCCAGGGTTCATGGGTGGGTGGCAGGACAGCAGGGTACCTTTGCTATTTTAGCCCAATCCCTACAGTGACCCTGACCTCTGTCTAGTATGTGGGTACTAGGGTAGGGTGAAGGGGAGTGGTGCTGAAAGGACTGTGGACTCTATGAGGCACTTCTTTCCACCCCAGGAAGTCTGGGCCTGGGCTTAGGCGGTGCCTGGGGAGCAAGTCCAGGCCTGGCTTGGGCACCCCTCAACACTTCACCCATCTTACCTCTCCCAAGAGATCACATCTCAGGGAAGGAAAGATGTTCCATCCCTAGCTCTCTGCCCGAGGCTTTGCCGGGGTGGGGGGTGGTCTTGGACCCTTTTTCACCTTGCTTTCTGCTTTCCCCAGGTCTCTCTCTTAAGGGTGGTTTGTCCCAGCAAAACCTGAAGCCCTCCCTCAAGGTGGAGCCACAAAGCCACTTCAGCTCCTTCAAGTACAATGGCAACGCGGTGGTGGAAAGCTACTCGGTGCTGGGCAGCTGCCGGCCCTCTGACCCCTACAGCATGAGCAGCGTGTATTCTTACCACTCCCACTATGCACAGCCCGGCCTGGCCTCCGTCAACGGGTTCCACTCAAAGTATGCTCTTCCCTCCTTCAGCTACTATGGTTTTCCATCCAGCAACCCTGTCTTCCCCTCTCAGTTCCTGGGTCCTAGTACCTGGGGACATGGTGGCAGCAGCAGCAGTTTTGAGAAGAAGCCAGATCTTCATGCTCTGCACAACAGCCTGAGCCCGGCCTACGGTGGTGCTGAGTTTGCCGAGCTGCCCGGCCAGGCTGTTTCCACAGACACCCACCACTCTGCTCCTCACCACCAGCAGCCTGCTTACCCAGGCCCCAAGGAGTATCTGCTTCCCAAGGCCCCCCAGCTCCACCCAGCATCCAGGGACCCCTCCCCATTTGCTCAGAGCTCCAACTGCTACAACAGATCCATCAAGCAAGAGCCAGTAGATTCACTGGTCCAGACCGAAACTGTTCCCAGAGACTCTATTAAGATGGGCAAAACGCCTTTGCCTGAGGCATCTCAGAATGGGGGACCCAGTCACCTATGGGGACAGTACTCAGGCTCAAGCATGTCCCCCAAGAGGACTAACAGTGTGGGTGGCAGTTGGGGTGTGTTCCCTCCAGGAGAGAGCCCTGCCATCATCCCCGACAAGCTCAGTTCTTTTGGAGCCAGCTGCCTGACCCCTTCACACTTCCCAGATGGCCAGTGGGGACTGTTCGCTGGCGAGGGGCAACAGTCCACCTCCCATTCTGGAGGACGACTGCGAGGCAAACCATGGAGCCCTTGCAAGTTTGGGAACAGCACCTCGGCCTTGGCTGGGCCCAGTCTGACTGAGAAGCCGTGGGGGGTCGGGGCAGGGGATTTCAACTCTGCTCTGAAAAGCAGTTCCGGATTCCAAGACAAGTTGTGGAACCCCATGAAAGGGGAGGACGGAAGGATTCCCACCCCAGGCATGAGCCGGCTGGACAAAGCCTGGCAGGCCTTTAGCATGCCCCTTGGCTCCAGTGAGAAGCTATTTGGTGCCCTAAAGTCGGAGGAAAAGCTGTGGGATCCCTTCAGCCTGGAGGAGGGGACAACCGAGGAACCCCCCAGCAAGGGGACAGTGAAGGAGGAGAAAGGTGGCCCTGGTGTAGAGGAGGAGGAAGAGGAGCTATGGTCAGACAGCGAACACAACTTCCTGGATGAGAACATCGGTGGTGTTGCTGTGGCTCCTGCTCACGGCTCCATCCTCATCGAGTGTGCTCGGCGAGAGCTGCATGCCACCACACCACTCAAGAAGCCTAACCGCTGCCACCCTACCCGCATCTCGCTGGTCTTCTACCAGCACAAGAACCTCAACCAGCCCAACCATGGGCTGGCCCTCTGGGAAGCCAAGATGAAGCAGCTGGCAGAGCGGGCAAGGGCACGGCAGGAGGAGGCTGCACGCCTGGGCCTGGGCCAGCAGGAGGCCAAGCTCTTTGGGAAGAAGCGCAAGTGGGGGGGCGCCATGGTTGCTGAGCCCCAGCACAAGGAGAAGAAGGGGGCTGTCCCCACACGGCAGGCACTGGCCATGCCCACAGACTCAGCGGTCACCGTGTCCTCTTACGCTTACACGAAGGTCACTGGTCCCTACAGCCGCTGGATCTAGGTGCCAGGGAGCCAGTGTACCTCAGCATCGGGCCCAGCCCGAGCTGCCTCTGTGGTGCTTTCGCCCTCACATCTGGGGGCGGGTTGGGGGTGCAGAAGTCTTTCTATATCTACATATATGGATACATCTATCATATATATGTATTTATGGTCCAAACCTCAGAACTGACCCGCCCCTCCCTTCCCCCACCTCCCCAGCACTTTGAAGAAGAAACTACGGCTGTCGGGTGATTTTTTTTTTTTTTTTTTTTTGTGATCTTAATATTTATATCTCCATGTTTTATTTTCCCTTTGTTTGAGGGGCTTTTCATTTTGTTTTTAAAACTCTATCCTTGTATATCACAATAATGGAAAGAAAGTTTATAGTGTCCTTTCACAAAGGAGTAGTTTTAAATTCCATTTAAAATGTGTATTTATTGGATTTTTTTTAAAACAATGGTCATGGTAATGGCTGGACAGGCGAGGCCAGCAGTGCTGCTCCTGCCTGGCCTCCTGGGAGCTGATAGGTTCTCTCGGCCATCTGCCCCTCACGAGCCAAGGGCAGCATGTAGCTCCAGTCCATCCCTCCCTCCCTGTGGGCAGGGAGCCCTCGGAACAGCCTCTGTCCTCTCTGTGGGGTGAGAGAAGCTGTAGAAACCATCTGGGGCCCCTTTCCAGTCAGCAGTGGGCCAGAGGCACCACAGGCCTGGCCAGAGATGCTGATGTAGATCTCCCCAGAAACCGGGTTGGAAGTAGACAGCTTCAAGCTTGCTAGTCTCCACACTGAATCCTCTGTCCGTTATTTATCAAGTACATGATGTCCTGGTTCGCTAGGCAGCACCTCAGGCTGGAGCTGGAGTCAAGAGGCTGCTAGGAGCCCTTTCCGCCGCTTTGGTTAAGCCAATGAATACTGGGCTGAAGGAATCTGTCTTAGTGGCAAGTTTTAAAATGCCCCAAAGTTTATGCTGATACTGAAAAAGGGCTACTGTATCCTTACAAACAAGAAGTTGAACCCAAGCTGTGAAGAGCCAGCGGTGGCTCTGTGCACGGTGCTGTGTGATGCGGTGCTGTGTGATGCGGGAGCCTGGTGCTGTAGTATTGTGCTGGGACTTTCTTGACTTTGGGGGCAGGTTGTGTCCTGCGGGAGCTCAGCAAGCCAGTATAACAGCAGTTAACACATCTGTCTTTATCCTGGATCTCCACATTGGACAATGGTGCATGCCTCCCCAGCCCACCCCTGTGCTCTCAAGCAGGGAGGGGCCTACACTTAATTTTAAAAGTGCAAGAGTCATAGTTTTCAACAGGTTGCTATGATTTTCCTCCCTCATTGGTGCCAGTTCTCCATTGGATTTTTTTTTTCCTTTCCTCCCCTCTCCAACCCTTGTAACACACCCATTCTAAAATTCTGGTGCATTCGTTTAGTTCTTTGAAATGAGAATGTGGTGCTTAATTTTCATGACATTGTTGAGAGAGGTTGGCTCCTATAGGTGGAAGCAACACTTGTCCACAGCAAGTCAGACTTCTCAGAGTGTTTGTTTTTCTGGTGGTATTAGCAGAAATGAAACCAAGGTACCCATGTGGATGTGTGTTGTGAGTGGGGGGCTTCATTAGGACACACAGAGAGGGATATAGCCACACGGTGAATGTCAGCCAAGCCCTGAGAGAAACATTAGGTATTAATTAAGCAGCTTTGTTCAGATGTGGGTCTTCATAAATCAAGTTTAACAATCAGATGACAATGCTAAAGGCAAGTTCCTGAGCTTCCAGGTGCCTTGTGTAAGAGCTGAGAACCGACCCTTTGGGTGTTTACTGTAACCTTTTGGAAGCACTGGTGGAGAGTCGCTGTAAGATGTCCTGAGCATTTATGTGGTCTGGTTTTAACTGTAAATAGTGAAAGATTTTTTTAAGCACTTTTGCCTAGATTTAAACAGCAACTTGAAAAAAAAGTACGTTTTAACATGTAATTGTGGGAGAAATTGTAAATAGTAGCTGAATATTTAACGTGCTTTTGTCTATCCTCCACTTTTACCATATTCTGTAAAGTTGCATTTATTTTACAGGACAAAAATGAAATATTATTGCTTTTGAAATAAATACCCAAGAGCTTATCAGGATTTAGAATTATTCAGAACTCAGATTTATAGGAAAATCTCTGACCTTCAGTTTGACAAGCTAAAGGAGGCAGAGTCTTTAAGAAGCATGCTAATTTTCTAGTTTTGAGGAAAAGTTGGGTCCTTTAAATGCTATTTTGCTTATCGCATCAGTACTTTTACGCAGGTCTCATTTGACTCCGTGCTTAGGTAGATGCGGGGGTGCCTTGAAAACTTCATTTTAAATGATCTTAAGCAAGAAATAAGATATTTTACGAAACATTTGGAGAATGTGACCGTCTGTATGGCCCGTGGAAGCCCCAGGTTGGCTGTTGGTTTGGAAGGTCCCGAGTGTAACCCAGGTGATTCTGACATGTGGCATGTGTGAGTCTCTCTGATGTGTGTTAAATGTACTCTTTCCCTTGTCACCGTTTGGTAGCAAAGCCATTAGATGAGAGGAGAAACCAATACAAGCTAAAGCATGTGACATGTCCCCCAAGCCCACACTCCTGGTTCATAAGCTCTAGGCCAGGACAGGCTGCTGTGAGGTGAGGCAAGAGGCAGTCTGCATTGAACGTTCCTGTTTCTCTGCGAGTGCTGTTCCAGAGTGACGGGTGCTGTGGCCATGTTCAAGCCCAGGCTCATTTTCACACACTACATGTATAACCTACCTCAAATCTCAGTCATTGAAATTAGCATGCTTTACACGTATATTTAAGAAGTAACTATGCACAGCTCTTTATCCCCCCCCTTGCTGCTGAAGGCTTCTTAAAAAGAAAGATCAAATTTTTATTTTTACTGGCACGATCATTTTTTAAGTAATTGACATTTAATGATTGACAGACATTTTTATCATTAGAAAAATAAAGCCATTGCAATTTAAAAAAAAAAAAACTAACAGCATGACCAAGTTTTAAGAGTAATACAGCAACAGAAAATGATGGAATCTTATTCGTCTCCCCAATGCACCCCATCCGCGGACACCATCCACATACAGTGTAAATGTTTGCTTCCTTTTTTGCTTTGTTTTCTTTTCCCTGCCTGTTGCATGCAAGGGAAGTATTTAAAAGTTCTATGCTAAGAGATTTTTAAAAATAAAAATCACTTTGCAGCAGGTTCTCAGAAAATAACTGGTGCTAGCTCAAGAAACCAACTTACCATCAGAAAGCTCCCGTTAAAGGTGGTGAATAGACTGGGTGGGAGGTTGTTTTGGGGTCTGGTTTTTAGCAGGGCCTTCGTGCCTCACACCCTGGTTTCCTGGGTGCTGTTTTGCCTTCTCACTGAGGTGACACTGGTGTGCACGGGAAAGGGATTTTGACTGCCCCTCTGGTCCTTCCAACCTGCCTCTGGGAAACAATAGTTTGTACAGCAAGGGATTTTTAAAGTGCTAAATCAAGGAAAGAAGTAGCAGAGCTTCATTGCTTTGTACCAGACAGCAGTAGGTGTGTGAGGATGGTTGATGATGAGTAGATGGTAATCTGATGTCACTGAGAGAAATCCAGCCAGACTTTCTTCTTGAAGTTTAACCACTGCGAGATCTCAAACCAAGTCAAAGCTGGTGGAAAACTCTGATATATCCCTGATGTGCCTCAACCAATATCTTTCCTTTTGTTACTGAAGTGTGTTTTATGGACTAGGAAGCATTTTTATGAATTGAAATAGTCTAAATAAAATGGTGCTATGGTGTTTTAATGTGACTGTTCCTGATCCTGTCTTGCTGAGGTGCTAACAATGTTCTGAAACCACAACCAACCAAAAACAAGGTGGGCTCCAGTCGCTCTTGGCTTTTTAAATTTTTTTTTCTTTTTCTTTTCTCTTTTGGTGCTGTCTTCTTAGATCTGTTTACCATGCTATAATCTGCTCTGAGCAATTTTGTTTTGTTTTATTGTGCTTCCCTTGGTGGCCAAACAAAGGCAAGAGGCAACTCACCCCTTGCTGAGGATGGCAGGGCGGACACTGTATTTTGTACCCACTTCTCCAGCCAGATGAGAAAAACGGGGAAGGCCTGGGGTTGACGTCGTTGAGGAAGGGAAGTGGGGTACTCCTGCAGCCCAGGGTGCTAAGCAGATGTCTCTGGAGCCTCGAGTGGGGATGCTGAGGATCCACAAAGAACTCCTTCCTCTTCTGGCACTGCTGGGGCTATGGCCAACAAGGGGCTCATTCCTTTGCTCCTTAAAGCCTTTCCCCAGCATGGCTTCTGCTGCCTGTTGGTAGCCCCTTGCATTCAGACTAAAGGTAGGAGCTTTCTTTGTCTCTCAGTGCCACCGAGGCAGCTTTTTAGTTGGTGCTAAATTTCTCCTTGGGTCCACAGAAGGTGATGTTTTTAGAACTCAACAGGAAGCTCCATTTTTGCATCATCCACTGTCACAATTTTTTTTAAATACCTCAAAAACAAAATATTGTGACAACTTTGATAGGTTCTGTGAGGGTCTGATTTCTGCAGGTTGTCCATTTGATGACATACTTGACCTTGACAAATATGGAGTCATTTTGTTTTCCATTCTTCAGCAGTTACAATGGCAGAATGCCTAAAGGAAGGAGTGTGGTTGACTTTATTAAGTTTTGGTTTTGAATAAAATGTGAATTTCTTATGCCCATCTCATTGAGCTTTCTCAGTCATTGTTGCTGTCATCTGAAATGACTCCCTCAACACCTAGTTTTATTAGCCAGATCCATCTGCTTTCGTACATAGCCAACTTCAGTTTACCCTGGACCAAAATAACATTTTTGAGGTGCATACCCCCACTCAGGCTTCACAGCCACATACCCTCACATGCATAGTAGTTTCTGCTAGGGCTGCTTGTCTGGCACGCCTGGCCCTTCCTACTGCAGTGCTGCCGACAAGGGCAAAGCAATAGGCTTCTCCCCTGAGCAGAGACCTCAGCAGAAATGCCAGGTCTGAAGCTGATTTGTGTCTGGAATCAGCGAGCTATTTGGCCTGTTCCTCATTTGCTTCTATTCTGATAATCAGGGACGCTTTTTGTAGGGTATTTGTGCTTTTCTCATTTTTGACACCCATCATTCAGGAGG